CCGATGTGTATGTAGCAGGGGCTTCGGTGGCCCAGGAGCAGTCGCTAGAAACCGTCCGCATTCGAAGACGCGGTAGCAACTCCAAAACGGCGCATGATCTAACGCATATTTCGAATGATGGTGCAATACTGGAACCGAGAGTCGAACTCGGGACCTACTGCGTGTTAGGCAGTCGTCATAACCAACTAGACCATTCAAGCAAGCTGAAGAGACATCTCATTCCGTGGCCCCGGTGAGCTCCGTGATCTTAAATGCCCGTCTACATTACAGGCCGTGCTCAGCAGCAAGACACCTAATCGCGGGCTGAGTCGAGAACCGAACTCGGGACCTCACGCACCTCAAGCGAGAATCATACCACTAGACCACACAGCCACACCGGCGTGTATGTAGCAGGGGCTTCGGTGCCCCAGGAGCAGTCGCTAGAAACCGCCCGCATTCGAAGACGCGGTAGCAACTCCAAAACGGCGCATGATCTAACGCATATTTCGAATGATGGTGCAATACTGGAACCGAGAGTCGAACTCGGGACCTACTGCGTGTGAGGCAGTCGTCATAACCAACTAGACCATTCCAGCAAGCTGAAGAGACATCTCATTCCATGGTCCCGGTGAGCTCCGTGATCTTAAATGCTCGTCTACTATATAGGCCGTGCTCTGCGGCAAGACACCTAATCGCGGGCTGAGTCGAGAATCGAACTCGAGACCTCTCGCACCCAAAGCGAGAATCATACCACTAGACCACACAGCCACACCGGTGTGTATGTAGCAGGGGCTTCGGTGCCCCAGGAGCAGTCGCTAGAAACCGTCCGCATTCGAAGACGCGGTAGCAACTCCAAAACGGCGCATGATCTAACGCATATTTCGAATGATGGTGCAATACTGGAACCGAGAGTCGCACTCGGGACCTACTGCGTGTGAGGCAGTCGTCATAACCAACTAGACCATTCCAGCAAGCTGAAGAGACATCTCATTCCATGGTCCCGGTGAGCTCCGTGATCTTAAATGCTCGTCTACTATATAGGCCGTGCTCTGCAGCAAGACACCTAATCGCGAGCTGAGTCGAGAATCGGACTCGAGACCTCTCGCACCCGAAGCGAGAATCATAGCACTATATCACACAGCCACAAAAAACAATTCATAGAGGAAGCTTGCGCGCTTCTGTGTCTGTCGCTAGAAGCCGTGCGCCTCCGAAGACGCCGTAGCAACTACAACTCGGCGCATGATCTAATGCATATTTCGAATGATGGTGCAATACTGGGACCGAGAGTCGAACTCGGGACCTACTGCGTCTTAGGCAATCGTCATAACCAACTAGACCATTCAAGCAAGCTGAAGAGACATCTCATTCCGTGGCCCCGGTGAGCTCCGTGATCTTAAATGCCCGTCTACATTACAGGCCGTGCTCAGCAGCAAGACACCTAATCGCGGGCTGAGTCGAGAACCGAACTCGGGACCTCACGCACCTCAAGCGAGAATCATACCACTAGACCACACAGCCACACCGGCGTGTATGTAGCAGGGGCTTCGGTGCCCCAGGAGCAGTCGCTAGAAACCGCCCGCATTCGAAGACGCGGTAGCAACTCCAAAACGGCGCATGATCTAACGCATATTTCGAATGATGATGCAATACTGGAACCGAGAGTCGAACTCGGGACCTACTGCGTGTGAGGCAGTCGTCATAACCAACTAGACCATTCCAGCAAGCTGAAGAGACATCTCATTCCATGGTCCCGGTGAGCTCCGTGATCTTAAATGCTCGTCTACTATATAGGCCGTGCTCTGCGGCAAGACACCTAATCGCGGGCTGAGTCGAGAATCGAACTCGAGACCTCTCGCACCCAAAGCGAGAATCATACCACTAGACCACACAGCCACACCGGTGTGTATGTAGCAGGGGCTTCGGTGCCCCAGGAGCAGTCGGTAGAAACCGTCCGCATTCGAAGACGCGGTAGCAACTCCAAAACGGCGCATGATCTAACGCATATTTCGAATGATGGTGCAATACTGGAACCGAGAGTCGCACTCGGGACCTACTGCGTGTGAGGCAGTCGTCATAACCAACTAGACCATTCCAGCAAGCTGAAGAGACATCTCATTCCATGGTCCCGGTGAGCTCCGTGATCTTAAATGCTCGTCTACTATATAGGCCGTGCTCTGCAGCAAGACACCTAATCGCGGGCTGAGTCGAGAATCGGACTCGAGACCTCTCGCACCCGAAGCGAGAATCATAGCACTATATCACACAGCCACAAAAAACAATTCATAGAGGAAGCTTGCGCGCTTCTGTGTCTGTCGCTAGAAGCCGTGCGCCTCCGAAGACGCCGTAGCAACTACAACTCGGCGCATGATCTAATGCATATTTCGAATGATGGTGCAATACTGGGACCGAGAGTCGAACTCGGGACCTACTGCGTGTTAGGCAGTCGTCACGACCAACTAGACCATTCCAGCAAGCTGGAGACACATCTCATTCCGTGGTCCCGGTGAGCTCCGTGATCTTAAATGCCTGTCTACTATATAGGTCGTGCTCAGCAGCAAGACACCCAATCGCGGGCTGAGTCGAGAATCGAACTCGAGACCTCTCGCACCCGAAGCGAGAATCATACCACTAGACCACACAGCCACACCGGTGTGTATGTAGCAGGGGCTTCGGTGCCCCAGGAGCAGTCGCTAGAAACCGTCCGCATTCAAAGACGCGGTAGCAACTCCAAAACGGCGCATGATCTAACGCATATTTCGAATGATGGTGCAATACTGGAACCGAGAGTCGAACTCGGGACCTACTGCGTGTTAGGCAGTCGTCATAACCAACTAGACCATTCCAGCAAGCTGAAGAGACATCTCATTCCGTGGTCCCGGTGAGCTCCGTGATCTTAAATGCCCGTCTACTATATAGGCCGTGCTCTGCAGCAAGACACCTAATCGCGGGTTGAGTCCAGAATCGGACTCGAGACCTCTCGCACCCGAAGCGAGAATCATAGCACTATACCACACAGCCACAAAAAACAATTCATAGAGGAAGCTTGCGCGCTTATGTGTCTGTCGCTAGAAGCCGTGCGCCTCCGAAGACGCCGTAGCAACTCCAACTCGACGCATGATCTAATGCATATTTCGAATGATGGTGCAATACTGGGACCGAGAGTCGAACTCGGGACCTACTGCGTGTGAGGCAGTCGTCATAACCAACTAGACCATTCCAGCAAGCTGAAGAGACATCTCATTCCGTGGTCCCGGTGAGCTCCGTGATCTTAAATGCCCGTCTACTATATAGGCCGTGCTCAGCAGCAAGACACCTAATCGCGGGCTGAGTCGAGAATCGAACTCGAGACCTCTCGCACCCAAAGCGAGAATCATACCACTAGACCACACAGCCACACCGGTGTGTATGTAGCAGGGGCTTCGGTGCCCCAGGAGCAGTCGCTAGAAACCGTCCGCATTCGAAGACGCGGTAGCAACTCCAAAACGGCGCATGATCTAACGCATATTTCGAATGATGGTGCAATACTGGAACCGAGAGTCGAACTCGGGACCTACTGCGTGTTAGGCAGTCGTCATAACCAACTAGACCATTCCAGCAAGCTGAAGAGACATCTCATTCCGTGGTCCCGGTGAGCTCCGTGATCTTAAATGCCCGTCTACTATATAGGCCGTGCTCAGCAGCAAGACACCTAATCGCGGGCTGAGTCGAGAATCGAACTCGAGACCTCTCGCACCCGAAGCGAGAATCATACCACTAGACCACACAGCCACACCGGCGTGTATGTAGCAGGGGCTTCGGTGCCCCAGGAGCAGTCGCTAGAAACCGTCCGCATTCGAAGACGCGGTAGCAACTCCAAAACGGCGCATGATCTAACGCATATTTCGAATGATGGTGCAATACTGGAACCGAGAGTCGAACTCGGGACCTACTGCGTGTTAGGCAGTCGTCATAACCAACTAGACCATTCCAGCAAGCTGAAGAGACATCTCATTCCGTGGTCCCGGTGAGCTCCGTGATCTTAAATGCCCGTCTACTATATAGGCCGTGCTCAGCAGCAAGACACCTAATCGCGGGCTGAGTCGAGAATCGGACTCGAGACCTCTCGCACCCGAAGCGAGAATCATAGCACTAGACCACACAGCCACAAAAACAATTCATAGAGGAAGCTTGCGCGCTTCAGTGTCTGACGCTAGAAGCCGTGCGCCTCCGAAGACGCCATAGCAACTCCAACTCGGCGCATGATCTAACGCATATTTCGAACGATGGTGCAATACTGGAACCGAGAGTCGAACTCGGGACCTACTGGGTGTGAGGCAGTCGTCATAAGCAACTAGACCATTCCAGCAAGCTGGAAAGACATCTCATTCCGTGGTCCCGATGAGCTCCGTGATCTTAAATGCTTGTCTACTATATAGGTCGTGCTCAGCAGCAAGACACCCAATCGCGGGCTGAGTCGAGAATCGAACTCGAGACCTCTCGTACCCGAAGCGAGAATCATACCACTAGACCACACAGCCACAAAAAACAATTCATAGAGGAAGCTTGCGCGCTTCTGTGTCTGTCGCTAGAAGCCGTGCGCCTCCGAAGACGCCGTAGCAACTACAACTCGGCGCATGATCTAATGCATATTTTGAATGATGGTGCAATACTGGGACCGAGAGTCGAACTCGTGACCTACTGCGTGTTAGGCAGTCGTCACGACCAACTAGACCATTCCAGCAAGCTGGAGACACATCTCATTCCGTGGTCCCGGTGAGCTCCGTGATCTTAGATGCCTGTCTACTATATAGGTCGTGCTCAGCAGCAAGACACCCAATCGCGGGCTGAGTCGAGAATCGAACTCGAGACCTCTCGCACCCGAAGCGAGAATCATACCACTAGACCACACAGCCACACCAGTGTGTATGTAGCAGGGGCTTCGGTGCCCCAGGAGCAGTCGCTAGAAACCGTACGCATTCAAAGACGCGGTAGCAACTCCAAAACGGCGCATGATCTAACGCATATTTCGAATGATGGTGCAATACTGGAACCGAGAGCCGAATTCGGGACCTACTGCGTGTTAGGCAGTCGTCATAACCAACTAGACCATTCCAGCAAGCTGAAAAAGACATCTCATTCCGTGGTCCCGGTGAGCTCCGTGATCTTAAATGCTCGTCTACTACATAGGCCGTGCTCTGCAGCAAGACACCTAATCGCGGGCTGAGTCGAGAATCGGACTCGAGACCTCTCGCACCCGAAGCGAGAATCATAGCACTATATCACACAGCCACAAAAAACAATTCATAGAGGAAGCTTGCGCGCTTCTGTGTCTGTCGCTAGAAGCCGTGCGCCTCCGAAGACGCCGTAGCAACAACAACTCGGCGCATGATCTAATGCATATTTCGAATGATGGTGCAATACTGGGACCGAGAGTCGAACTCGGGACCTACTGCGTGTTAGGCAGTCGTCACGACCAACTGGACCATTCCAGCAAGCTGGAGACACATCTCATTCCGTGGTCCCGGTGAGCTCCGTGATCTTAAATGCCTGTCTACTATATAGGTCGTGCTCAGCAGCAAGACACCTAATCGCGGGCTGAGTCGAGAATCGGACTCGAGACCTCTCGCACCCGAAGCGAGAATCATAGCACTATATCACACAGCCACAAAAAACAATTCATAGAGGAAGCTTGCGCGCTTCTGTGTCTGTCGCTAGAAACCGTCCGCATTCGAAGACGCGGTAGCAACTCCAAAACGGCGCGTGATCTAACGCATATTTCGAATGATGGTGCAATACTGGGACCGAGAGTCGAACTCGGGACCTGCTACGTGTTAGGCAGTCGTCACAACCAACTAGACCATACCAGCAAGCTGAAGAGACATCTCATTCCGTGGTCCCGGTGAGCTCCGTGATCTTAAATGCCTGTCTACTATATAGGCCGTGCTCTGCAGCAAGACACCTTATCGCGGGCTGAGTCGAGAATCGGACTCGAGACCTCTCGCACCCGAAGCGAGAATCATAGCACTATATCACACAGCCACAAAAAACAATTCATAGAGGAAGCTTGCGCGCTTCTGTGTCTGTCGCTAGAAGCCGTGCGCCTCCGAAGACGCCGTAGCAACTACAACTCGGCGCATGATCTAATGCATATTTCGAATGATGGTGCAATACTGGAACCGAGAGTCGAACTCGGGACCTACTGCGTGTTAGGCAGTCGTCATAACCAACTAGACCATTCCAGCAAGCTGAAGAGACATCTCATTCCGTGGTCCCGGTGAGCTCCGTGATCTTAAATGCCTGTCTACTATATAGGTCGTGCTCAGCAGCAAAACACCTAATCGCGGACTGAGTCGAAAATCGAACTCGAGACCTCTCGCACCCGATGCGAGAATCATACCACTAGACCACACAGCCATACCGCCGAGTACGTAGCAGGGACTTCGGTGCCCCAGGAGCAGTCGCTAGAAACCGTCCGCATTCAAAGACGCGGTAGCAACTCCAAAACGGCGCATGATCTAACGCATATTTCGAATGATGGTGCAATACTGGAACCGAGAGTCGAACTCGGGACCTACTGCGTGTTAGGCAGTCGTCATAACCAACTAGACCACTCCAGCAAGCTGAAGAGACATCTCATTCCGTGGTCCCGGTGAGCTCCGTGATCTTAAATGCCTGTCTACTATATAGGCCGTGCTCTGCAGCAAGACAGCTAATCGCGGGCTGAGTCGAGAATCGGAGTCCGATTATCGGACTCGAGACCTCTCGCACCCGAAGCGAGAATCATAGCACCATATCACACAGCCACAAAAAACAATTCATAGAGGAAACTTGCGCGCTTCTGTGTCTGTCGCTAGAAGCCGTGCGCCTCCGAAGACGCCGTAGCAACTCCAACTCGGTGCATGATCTAATGCATATATCGAATGATGGTGCAATACTGGAACCGAGAGTCGAACTCGCGACCTACTGCGTGTTAGGCAGTCGTCATAACCAACTAGACCATTCCAGCAAGCTGAAGAGACAGCTCATTCCGTGGCCCCGGTGAGCTCCGTGATCTTAAATGCCCGTCTACATTACAGGCCGTGCTCAGCAGCAAGACACCTAACCGCGGGCTGAGTCGAGAATCGAACTTGAGACCTCTCGCACCCAAAGCGAGAATCATACCACTAGACCACACAGCCACACCGGTGTGTATGTAGCAGTCGCTTCGGTGCCCCAGGAGCAGTCGCTAGAAACCGTCCGCATTCGAAGACGCGGTAGCAACTCCAAAACGGCGCATGATCTAACGCATATTTCGAATGATGGTGCAATACTGGAACCGAGAGTCGAACTCGGGACTTACTACGTGTTAGGCAGTCGTCACAACCAACTAGACCATACCAGCAAGCTGAAGAGACATCTCATTCCGTGGTCCCGGTGAGCTCCGTGATCTTAAATGCCTGTCTACTATATAGGCCGTGCTCTGCAGCAAGACACCTAATCGCGGGCTGAGTCGAGAATCGGACTCGAGACCTCTCGCACCCGAAGCGAGAATCATAGCACTATATCACACAGCCACTGAAATTCCCAATGACGTAGAGGATGGGACGGATAGATGTAGCGAATTGCGTTGCCGCCAGCATAACTGGTGTGGTCCATATGTCACAGACTGTTCAGAACAGCCAGTAAACATGAGAGGAACTCACGATGAGCTGCCAGACAGATCAAACCACAAGGCGGTGGTCGCTGTGGAAAGACCCACAGACTGTGACTCACCACACTCCAGTCAGCGGTCATCTATTAGGACTGAGAGTGTCTACCAACGAATCCAATCCCAAGTCTCTCTGCGGACTTACCTCGGGATATCGCTGAAGAGAAACTCTAGTCCTACCTCCCTTCCGTCTCATCCTCATTGACAAACTCGACAAACGCCAAACTCTTGAGGTATCAAAACTCACAGATATCCAACACACGGATCTACTCGACTCCAGTCATCCTCTGGAAGTAAAGTTTCTCACGTGCTTCTCTCCCAGAATGATCTCGCATATAGTGATTCGCCACGGTACTGGTATCACTCCAACGGCCATACTCTCAAGGTAGTTGATTTTACCTTGTAAGAACCGGAGGAGAACAATAGCAGTTTTACGGAAGGATGTAGGAAGATGAGGGATATTATCAAAGGTAATAATTTCCCCATTGGGGTGATTGGGGAATTGAGCTTCATCTTATCGGAGCTCCAATCCCAGTATATAGAGGTTCTTGAGGAAAATAGGGCCCTAAGGCAGAAACAAGCCGAGTCACAGGATCTCAGGGAGAGATCCTTCCGTGATGTGGTGTTGGCCCCTATGAGTACACCCTCACAAAGGCCCAAAGTCACGGTAACCCCGAAGGACAATGTCGTTTTCGTCCAGAAGGGAGGAGCGAAACCGACCTCGAAGGAGGCGTGGGAGAGGTCGGTGGCCACCCTGAGGGGCAAGATCATCAAGCAGGTTACAGATCTGAAGATCCCAGTCAGTAGGGTCATGGCAAGGGCTCAAGACGTGGCTGTCTTCTTTCCACCATCGGTGGAGAAGACCAAGATGGTCGAATCGATGAACAAGATCGCGTGCACCAAGTGCAAGGTGCCAGACTCTCTATTGCCGGAGGTGCTTATCTATACTGGTGACCAAGAGGGTACGCAGGAGGACTTCCTGGGGCAAGTCAAAGCGTACATGGGTCTGGACACTGATCAGTGGCATAGAGCGAAGGGTAACGATAAGTTCACGGTCTACAGGATGTCACATTCGGACAGGGATAAGGTTATCAAGAACGGGGGAGTTTATATTAATGCGCAGAAGATCAAGGCGCACGACTATATATCTCTCAGAGGATGCATGAAGTGTGGGGGTAATCACGGCCCGACAAGCGGTTGCAAGGAAGAGAAGAGGTGCCTGTTCTGTGGCTCCGACTCACATGACGGGGCGAGCTGCGAGCACCGAAATTCCAGGGGTAGAGAAGATGCGAAGTGCTCGCTTTGTGGCGAGACGGGTCATACCTTCTTTTCCGGACCACCGTGCAGGGCGAGGATCGAACAGATCAGGGCCAAGTACCAGAAGATTGGGTATAACCCGTCGGAAGACAGCCCGCCTCTCACAGGCCCCCTGTCGCGGTATATATGATTCATGGTATTGATAAGATTAGAGTAGCACAGTGTAATTGTCGCAAATCACGTAACATTCTGGACGCTTTCATGGGTACTCTCGATTCTAATTTGATAGATATTTTTCTTTTGTCTGAACCCCCAACCAAGCTCTCAGTTGGAGGCTTTGTATCATTTCGTGGAGACGCAGCCGGCAGGACGGCTATATTAGCGTCGCGTAATATTGCTGAATCTGTAACATTAGACCCTTCCTTTTCATCGGACTTGATCACCACTGTATACTTAAAAGACATAGCTTTATGTAGTATATACATACCGCCTAGAACATTGTCGGCAGAGTCCCTAGCACCCCTCGATGGGATTGCTAGAGAGAAGTGCGTTGTGGGAGGAGACGTGAATGGGTTTTCTTTGTTGTGGAGCGATAGGCTGTGCAGGAGTTACGATGAACAGAAAAGACAGGGATCCCTGGTTGAGGAAGCTCTTCTCTCCAGAGGTTTCATCTGTGAGAATATTGGGGATGAGCCCACTTTCTCGAGGTCGGGGATTTATATACCCGGGGACTTCGAAGGGTGCTCGAGGATCGACGTTACATTCTCGAGAGAGGTGGATATCTACAACTGGGCGGTCGTCGTGGAACCAGGTCCGTGGGACCATTTTCCAATCACATTTGGTATAAAGCTCGCAGGCGAGGAGCAGAGTGATGAAGGAGAACAGTATGACCACACCACACTGCAGGGAAGGAGTTACCAATCAACCAATTGGGACCTCTTCAAGGAGGCTGTAGACAGGTGCCCTTTCCCGGAGGAACCTATTACCACAGCGGCCGAGCTCGAGAGAAGGTACGACAACCTCATATGCATAATACAAGAGGCAGGGATAGAAGCCTCTCGTCCCAGAGGGACAAGAGTAGGGAGGGACAAGAAAAACGGGGTGGTGCAGTGGTGGGATGACGAACTCAGGGAGAAAAGGGCCGCTTTGAAACGAGCGTGTAGAAGAGGGGA